TTTGAAATTTAGAGAACTTTTGGAAAACTTTTCTTGTTTTTCCATGTCTCTTTCCATCTTTACTGCTTTTACAGATATTATTGTAATACTGTTTCTTGTCTCTTCTAACAGTTTTTTGAAATTCTTTGTTAAGTTCCTTCCTGAAATCTTTGGCTTCACTACTTCTTGGCAATTTGCACTGTTTGTTCTGATATCCAGTGTGCTTTCTTTTGGTTTTTTTAATCTTTGGCAATCTCTTTTCACATTCATTTCTAATGACTTCTTTAAATTCATTCCAGAGTTTCTCTGGTTCCTGATGAATGAGGTTCGAACTTCAAAGTGATTGTTGATGTTCTCCTTGAAAATGTTGGGTATATGCTCAAGATCATATCATGGGAAATGGTTGGCTTTCTTCTTCTGCTTTAGCTTAACTTGGAAATTGCCCATGAGTAGTTTGTGATCTGTTTCACAATCTGTTCCTGGCCATGTCTTTGCTGTTATAACTAAGTCCTTCCACCTCCCTCTACCTTATATACATAGTCAATTTAGTTTCTCTTAACTCCATCTGGTGATGTCCATGTTTTGGCATTATTTTGGTTGTTTGAAAAACCTGTTAGCAATGAAAAATCGTTAGACTGGCAGAAATTATTAAGTCATTCTCCTGCTTCATTTTGGGGTTTTTAGGCCATATAGTTCAAATTTGTGTGTATAGTATGTGTGTGTGTGCATGTTTGTGTGTGTGTATTTAAATATGGCGTAAGACAGCTTATTGATCCTGGGGGAAAGGTATAAACAGCTGTAGAATATTTTCATATTCTTGCATGGTCCATGCTATTATTTTGTTCTGTAAAATGTATAAAATGTATATAGCACTAAGCATCTTAAATACCAAACTTCACAATATTCACAAACTTAAATTAGGATTAATGAGCAATCAGTGTAGAGTATGGACACTGAATGTAATAAAGCAACCTGCTTGTTAAAAATTGAGTCATAAAACTGAATTATATTAACTCAAAAATTTAAGAGCAAAATTAAATCCTACAATTATTTTTTTCAAGGTAATTGGGATTTTATTCATATATTAATAACAAAAAATAGTGTTATTAAAAATAGAAGAATTCTGCTTTGTTTGTGACTCCTGTTTATCAAAAAAAAACCTTGTAAATTTGTTTGGTATCAAGTCAGAGTTCCTTATATAGTGTATGTCAGTGGTGGGATTCAAATAATTTAACAACCGGTTCTCTGCCCTAATGACCGAATGGATGGGCATGGCCATGGTGGGAGTGGCCAGGGGATGTGACAGGCAGCACTTGGCCTTCTGCACCCCCCTGGGAGAAAAAACGGGCCACCAGTGGGGAACGTGACACCCATCCACGCCCTGTTTTGGGCCTAGGAGGCCTCTCTATAACCTGGGAGCGAAAATGGCCCGGGGGGGCCCGCACTGCACCCCCCCATGCCCCATTTTGGGCCTAGGAGGCTTCCCTAAAGCCTCCTGGGAGTGAAAACAGGCTGCAGGCAGATGCACTGCACCCCCCGAACCACGATTTGGACCTAGGAAGCAGCCCTGAAGCCTCCTGGGAGCAAAAATGGGCCATGGTGGGGGGGGGGCATGCTGCACCCTCCCGTGCCCTGTTCTGATCCTAGGAGGCCTCCCTGCACTTATCTGGGAGCCAAAATGGAGCGCGTGGGGACTCCTGGAAGGGGTGGGGAGGGGAGGGGCCAGCCAGCAATTTAACTACCTGTTCTCCTGAACTGGTCCGAATGAGCTGAATCCTACCACTGATGTATATGTGCATTGGTGCACAGCAGCCTGCAATCCTGGTTTTTTTCAGGGAAGTATCCTAGCATGGAACACTTGCTTATCTAATAGTTTCTAATAGCTGTTTGTTCATGCATTTTTAAAAAAACCCATAAAGTGTGCTCTTTTCTGGATCATGAGATCAGTCACTTACACCCTGCCCATTTTTTGTTTGGATTACCACAATGCTCTCTGTATAAGGCTACCGTTGAACACTATTTCTCATATTTGTGACCCTGGGAGGCTTACAATTAAAACATAAAACAGTATCAAAAACCACAGAATAAAACAATCATACAAATTATACAAAACATTAAAACAATTAGAACCATACAATTCGGTCATCAGGAGAGCACAGTTGTTCATAAACAGGACAACCATTTTCATTCTGATGCTTATTTGTATGTATTCTCATATAATTGTCTCATTGTATATGTCAAAACTGCAGATTTTAAGTTAAGTTAAAAGTGATTTGTAATATTTCAGTTTGCTTTCAACGTTCAATGTTAGACCAAATAAGCTCCATAGCAAACCAGCATATTATCAGATAGTCCAAAAAAAAAAAAAAATCTGTCTCCTTGAAGTTAACAGCACTTATTATTATTATTTTTTTGACTGCAATTAGCAGACTGGAGAAGAAAGGGGATTGATCAGAGTTGACATAATGTGAAGGGACTATCCTCTTGACAAGCCATAATGTAAACTTCAAACACAGGAGTGGCTGCACTTTATTTTACTAGCCCTTCAGATCTGATTGCCAAAAATGCTTTGGAGAAAGCAGAAACAGATATGTAGCACGTATCTGTAGCATCTTAAAGTAACTATGCCTTTTCCCGGGATCCACAGGAAAAGCAGTTTCTGTGTGAAGCATCTTTTGAAGATTAAATTTTACGTGCTACATAGCTATTTTTACTATTATATTATTTTTTAGTATTATTTACTATTGTTGGTACAGGCTAGCACAGGAAGCAGGGCATGGGTGTCATGACATTGTAAAGATGGCCAGGGTGATTTTTTTTTTCCTAGTGTTGTTTCTAATGGGGTGGTTTGGTATCCCCAAGCAGTTTAACATATAATAAGCACTGAATGCATATACCTATTTCCTCTTATGGCTACAAGGTTTGAGAGCTGCATGTACCTGATAGGCTGTTGCCAACAGGTTATCTGCTCTTAGATAAACTTAAAGTACACTTAAAATTTACAGCAAGTTGAAATAAAGTACTAGATATTTAAAGGATATTTAAAGGAACTTTTAAAACTTGTTATTAAAACATATTCAAATGAATTGTTTATAGAACAGTCTGATTTTACTCGTAATGACTCTTAGGTTACACAAAACCATTTGGGCATACCCATGACTGTTTTGGGTTTTCTGTTGAAGGTAGCATTCTTTTCAGTGTGGCATTATATATGCTAGAGAGCCAGTGTGGTTTGTTTTTAACATATCCAGAAATATGAAAGTGGGAGACTGAATTCTAGTCCAGTCTTGCACACAAATCCAGCTGGGTGATTCTCTCCTAGTCCTAATGAATAGGAAATGGCAAAATCTGAAAATTCTGAAATCTGGCCAAGAAAACTGGAGGGGCTTGTCCAAGCAGTCGCCACAATTTGAAAGCATGAATTCTATAAATGTTACTCTTGAACATGATTCATTTTTCCAAAAAAGATGTTTTGAATCCTTTGTTTTCTTGGTAGTATACATTTTTGAGGGATTTATATGTAATACAGGTGATGCTTAAAAACTTCCAGTTGATGTACGTATTAAACAATTTATGCAACAATCTCTTCAGCCAAACTAGGTGAGAATAAGGAATATAAAAAATACACTCCGAAACAGGAGTTTTACCATAGAACCAACAATGTTCTTTTAAGCATAATTTGAAATTGTTTCCGCTGAGAAATGAGTTTGAGGCATTGGTTTCAAGTTGGTTAATGTACTCTTTCTTGCTCATTTAAAGAGAGTGGAATTATTGTTGACTGAGTTTTCTGCAGGCAAATATTTTAAGACATTGTTGGCAGGAGTAATCTTATTATAGAAAGGAGTTTAATCTGAAAGGAATTCAGCATGTTATTTAAGTTCTTACGATGTGTTCCTAATTCTGGTGGTTTAAAACTAAAACTAAAATCTGTTGTGGTTTTGGGAAAAGGGAAATTGCGGTATTTGTACAGTTCAGCTAATAAATTATTGAAGTTTAGGTATAGAACAACTCTTTCCAAAGGAACCTAAAACAATATGCAGAATGTATAAATCTTTGCAGTACTTTTGTGAGTTCATGGTTTAGTCGATCCCATTTCTTGAACTTCTTGTTTAACTGGTGATGTGAAACTACCTTTCCAACTTCATTTAGCATGTAATAATTAAGTTATAGTAGCATTCTTTCTTTATAATCAGTCCACTGCATTTGAATAGATTGTAACAGCTGTTTATTTCAGAATTTGAAATTATGTGGGTGCCCTTGGCATAAACCTTGCATACATTAAGCCTCTCAGTTCAGTTCTATTTATCTTGACATTAGCTTTGAAGAGGCCCAGGGATGAACTCTGTTATTATACTTCAATATTTTTTTCAATTGCTTTGAGTTAAACATTTATGTTGCAGGGACTTCACAAAAATACTTCAGACATTTAAAGTTTTTTTTTCTTTTTTTCCAGAAGGGTTAAAATATTACATTATTATGCAATCTGTCATACTGCTGCTTCTCTTCCATTAGAATTTTTGACGAATGTTTATTTCTTAAACAAAATGTTCTTATTAATTTTGTATGGCACTGAGTATCTGCTTAATTCTGGGATTGTTTTTTAATATTTTAAAACTATATTTTTATTTAAACTTAAACTCATGTTCTTTTCCCAGTCTATAATGTTTCTATGATAGTAGCTTCGTATCAACTTTAATTTCTTGCCTTGGCTATAAAGATATTATGACATGTGAAAACAATATTACTTTTAATATTAGTTTACTTGGTACAGCATTGCATAAAAACTTAAACTTATCATATTCACTTGCAGCAAAATTGATAAGCTGCTGATTATGAATAATGATGTATTTTATTAAATATCCCATTAGTTAGCCAGAAGAGAATGGGTAATACTCCATTAGAACTTTAACCTGATCAGGATGTGAAGAAAATACCTTTTGTATCCAATATTTTCTTTATTGTGGATGTGGATATGTTTGTCCCATTAGTATTAAAATATTATTGTAAATATTATTTTCTAGATGAAGCCCTAGAAGATTTAAAATCCCAGAAGAAAAAAATAGTAAGTCTCTATCTAAATATGTTTCTTGAAATCTTATCTCTGTGTTTTATATAACATTCACTTGGTTGCAGATATTCTTAAAGGATATGTGAAATGCAGTTAATATGTTCAACTGATTGAGCTGTTATTGTCAACTGTACATGGAGGCAGGGGTGAAATCCAGCAGGTTCTAACAGGTTCTTTAGAACTGAAAATTTTGAGTAGTGCAGAGAACCAGCAAATACCACCTCTGGCTGGTCCCAGAATGGGGTGGGAATGGAGATTTTGCAATATCCTTCCCCTTCCATGCCCAACAAGCCACACCCACAGAACTGGTAGGGAAAAATTTTGAATTTCACCCCTGCATGGAGGGAGAAAAGTATCTTCTAATCCACAATATATTTTGATGGGCATTCATCAACAGGATTGGAGTGGTGGGGAAGAGACTGTACCATTTATATATTTGTGATTATTCAATGTTTATTACAATAAATATAATTTTAATAAGATTTCTTTATCTGATCATTTGTGCATTTTTGGCACATCTCCATTGAAAGTTGTGTCAGTGACAAGTCAATTGTCAAGCACCAGGGAAATCAGGAGATCCAGGCAATTCAAATGTGTATAAAGATTTATTGTAAGCATTACATTAATCTACATTTATTTGAACTACTAATGCTCAAGGGAAATTTGCAGGAGTTAAGAATAGAAAGGAATTCAAGGTGGGCTGGACTTAGATCTCTTGTAGGCATGAATGACTAATGACACATTTTACTCCTCCCTCAGTCTCAGGCTGGTCATCTCCTACATCAGTTGTACATATTTCTGTGAGCATAAAGTTTGATCTGGAGCTGTTTGTTCTTTATTCTTTTATGTTTATTTAAATTAATAATAAGTTTTAGAAATATACCAGCATTTTTCTAATGTATTCAGCAAATCATTTTTGTATTAGTAGCTTAGCAAGGTTTTGCCTTCAGAAGTGGTTAATGTCGGTTATAGCCAAGGAGATGTGGACAAAAAAATAGAATAATAAGCTCTTACATTTCATAAGTTGTTATAAATCCATGAGATAAAGACTAAATTACCCAAATGATTGCCCATTAGATCATTATCATCCAGAATTTACTCTAAGATAAAAATGCCAGCCTGTTGTGTCCTGGGCTTGGCAGAGGGAAAGAATAGGGAGTTCATCTCTTCCAGGTCTATCTTCCATGTTCAATCCCTATCCAGGTTTGTTGGATAGGGAGGATAATGGCAACTGTTTAACCAATTCTGCTGTTCCATTTAATGGAGAATTTGAGCAGAGTGAACCAGAAGGAGCAACAGCTTGAGTGTAAATAGCGGCAAATTCAGAATGAATTGCATTGAACATGAAATAAAGCACATTTGGAGCAACATCCCATAGTGTGGCTATAGCTAAGAATGCATACTTCATAGATTTCATTGTATATATTTGTAAAGTAAATTTGCGTTGTTTTTTCATACTGAGGCATCTATTCTATGAGGATGTGAGAAAGGGGATGACTGAGGAGTTAATGAATTGGTATGAGCAATCTGTAGCATTCCTTGTAGATAAAGTAACTTGGATTAGCCTTAACTCCACCTTAACTTGAATTCCAGTGTTGAAGTAAGGTGGGAGGATATAGCAATAGCCAGCACTTTACTTATTGTTTTGTATTGTTTCTAGCTAATAGATTCAAAGTTGTAGACAAGTGTCTGAAAAAATGAAGGCTGCAACTTTCTTGGATAACTCTTGCCATTCCCGACTCCATTGCTTCCTGGCGAGAGGGGGTTTATCTATCCCTATCTTAAGGAGATAGTAATAAAACTCTCACTTAATATATTCCATTGACAAATTTTGGTTTGTTAGTTGTTGCCATCTATGGGGGTGGTGCTCATCTCAATTTCAAGGATCATTGAGTTAGCGCTGTCTGATTCCACTGTCATGTGGCCAGCATGACATCACAGAGTGCTGTTACCTTCCCACAGAAATGATCCCTATTTATTTACTTGCATATTTTTGAACTTTTAGATTGGCAGAAGATAGGGTGAGGACAGGAGCTCACCCTGTCGTGCATTGCTCGGGTCTTGAATCTGGGCTGTTGCCTTTCCAGACAACAAGCCCAAGTCTTAACTGCTGAGCCATTGCATCATCTTAGGTACTATTAGCAAGTCTCAAATATATGTCAGAGATGCATGCAGGTGATTTATGGCAAACCCCTGAATATTTTTAAATAAATCTGTGAGATTGGTGTCAGCTTGAAGAGTGAATATACCGTAGTACCCAATAACATATTCTTGTGCAATTCCTCACTTGACATAGCCAGATGCATATCTTTTAATTAGCAGATATAAAACTCAAGTAACTAATGAGTTAATAATTAGTATCTTTAAAAGTAACCAGAATGATTTTCTTCATTTATAATTTGTTGTGTACTTGCTGTTTTTACATCCTCTTTCTTCTTCATGCCCAGCAAATAAGCACCGTGTCAACTCTAATTTCACTTTTTACTCTACCTTTTGCTGTTTCCTGTGCTTTGCCCCAGCTTGACTGATAATTTGTTATCTATTACTTTTCTTTTTTAAATTATATATCATTTTTATTAAAATAATTTCAGTAATATAATCTATTACAAAGTAAATTAAAAGAGAAAAATATCGCAAATTAAGGCAAATATATGTGTCCAAGGATAATGCTGCAGGATCCAATCTGAATTGGTCACCAGGATTACTCTTCCTGGCTCGTGTTGGAGCCCATCCTTGGGGAGCATCTCTCTCTTCAAAATGGATGCAATGGGCTGTTCTATGCATAATATTTATGTAGAGCCTGGTTGTGTGTGGCTTTTAGTTGTTAATTGGGGGGTTGTTGGCCAGTTATTAAGTTGTTGATTGTTGTTTCCTGATGCTGCCCTGCCCTCAGTTCCTAAGTAACTGATAAACTGATGTAAATCAGCACTCCTGTTGACTGGCAAGGGACCCGTTTCCCCAGCTTCAATCATCAAGGGGCAGATTTCTCCCCCCACATCATCAGAAGAATGTAAAATAAAAGAGTAAGAAGTACACCCCCGCCAAGGTTGCAGATAATTTCTTCTTCCCATAATGCATCCCTTTAAGCAAATCCATCAACTTTTCAGTCCTAGTGCCGGCAAAAAGTTCGTAAAAAGTTATAAGAATTTCATTAAAATGTCTATTTTAACCTTAATATTTATATTTAACTTTATATTAACTTTATAACTTTATATTTCTTTGATTTACTTCCAAAAATATTAATCTTTAGTTCATTTGAATATTGTCATATTGATCTCTCTTCAATTCTTTTTCGTCCAATTGCATAGGCTTCTTTCTCACTATTAAGCCACTTTTGTAAATTTAATGAAAACACCCAGATCATTCTACTGGTTTATCATTTGCATTTCCCCTTTAATTTTTAAAGCCAGTTCTTTTGTTTATCCAGTAAAGAATTTTTGTATGGGTTATTCTTTTGGCCTGCCACTTTAAATACCTTTGTAATCTTATAATTCCCACCTTTTAAAATCGAATATTTCTAATTTCTGCATCAAGCAAAAATGTTTCATTTATTATTCATTCCTTAGCGTCATTTAAACTTAGTTTATCCATAAAAGCCAACATCATTACTATTGTTATTGTTTGCTAATTTCTGCTTCTATTCTTGGAATTCTTTAATATAATAGTTCAGATGTTATAGTGTTTTGTAAATCTCAATCTGAATCCAAATCAAAGGCATTTTTTCTTTAGTCTTTTCTAGTGCCCATTTTAAATAGTAAAGCATCTAATCTCTGTTATGATTCACAGTAGACAAAATAATTCTGCTTTCCACTAAAAGCTATTTATTTTATATAGTTTTACAATAAATCTTATAGTTTCAATATTCCAAATTTGTCTGGATCCTTAATTCATTTATAACACTCTTGATTCAAAAGCTTATTTAGTCCTTTGCCATTTATTTCAAATTCTTTCTTAAATTTATAATTAATTTTTCTTTTGCTCAGAGATGAAGATAGACTCACCAGGTGGCTTTTTAAACTTATTGTTCCGAAGATCTCTGGTAGTTTCATAGTAATTAAATAGGCAATTTCTGAAAATGATTAGAAATGATATTAATAAATTTAGTGTCCTTTAAAAGGCTTTACTGCAGTTGTGAGCTTGATGATTGATCCCTTTGTCTCCTGGCACTCAAACCCATGGGATACTACTGCCTGCAGTTTCTATATAAGGAGCAGCTGTCCAGTCCACATGTGAGCGATCTCCCATCTTCTCCTTGTCCATTCCAAAGAACTGGTCTATTCATCAGTTCTTCAGTCTCTGCTCTTCATGGAGATATGTGTAACTTGCCATGCCTTCACTGGAAGTCAGGTCTGGTTATTATCCATCACTTTTCCAGTTTACCTATTCATTGTTGTCCACAGTTTAAGATCTCATCAATTAAACAGTGCTATCTAATGGAATCCAGGAAGTGTGCTTCTCTGCCATGGAGCTGCCCTCTGGAATTATATCCTCTAGAGATCTGAATGGCCTCCACCCTGATGATTGCCAGGAAGCTGTTAAAGGCCTGGCTCTTCTCCCAAGTCTTTGGGCAGGGGGAAGGTTATAGGCCCCTGTTGAATTTCGATAGGAGTCATTGTTTACATGGGCCATTTCTGATCTCTTTTTGTTTTTTTGTACCTTTTTAAAATAATAATTGTAAACCACCGAGAGCCATTAGGAGTTGATAGCCTCTAAATTATATAAATAAACATGTAGGCTTTATGTCTTCTCTGTAGGACCAGGAGAAACCATGCATCTGTCATGCTGCATCTGTAGATGCCAAAACCCAGAGCATGACACAAAATTCCCTTATTACCTCTCCTTACTCAGGAGAGGACTTGTAAAATTAAAAAAGGGCTCTCAGCAGAGCACATACCATCACTGAACTGAATGTAGCTTTATTGGCACCCTATCCTTGTTTTGCTTCCCCTTTGCCCTCCCATTGTCGAAATTCCTTGTTCCTCATTTCTTAACTCAGCTCCTTTTATTCAGTCCCCCCCCCCTCTTTTTTTCTTTCTGCTTCCTCATTCTTTAACTGTACTTTTTGATTTTGCTGGTTTTCATCTCTTCCAGCAGTTTACTTGAGAGTATTTTAGAACATAGTGGATTACGCATTATAGCTCTCTGATTTGTGGGGTGGGGAGTGTGTCTTATTGTCCCAAAAATATGGTATATCATTGTAAGAAGGCTGGCTTCAAGAAATTCCTACAAACATATCTGCTAGTACACGTAGTCCTTGACTTATGACCACAATTGAACCCAAAATTTATTTTGCTAAGCAAGAGTTTTGTCTCATCTTATGACTTTTTTTACCACAGTTTTTAAGTGAGGATATCCAAAACCTTATGTAAGGATGTGTGAATCTTTTCACATTCATTTTTTAATTGGGGACAACAAAGTGATTGCAAAAGACACTAAAAATACATTTGCGGGAGTATGCAGAAAAAATAAAAGAAACAAGAAGCGGATAAATAAGCTTCTGCCCAGATTATCTGTTTCCATAATGTCTGTCAAATATTTTGAGAAGCCTTAAGAAATTTGATGGTTAGATAAATATAGGTGTCACTTTCTATTTGTGACTTCTGATTGTATGGCCTTTTAAGAGGATTAGAGAAACAGTTAGTATAGCCTTTGATAAGGGGTTTTGAAAGGGCAAAAATGTTTTGTGGAAACATTCTCAGTAACTTATAAGAATAAAACCTATGTTAAAAGGTCAAGGAAAATAACAGTATGTGAGCCAATGAATTTTGTATGACCTTTCTTATGTACTGTAGGATTTGACTTCCAAGAAACACTTGCACATACTGGCTAACTTGAGCAATGTGTTCCTTTCTGAAAATAAATGTTACACTCTGGCATTGGCCAAGAGTTCCAGACCACCATTGGGTTGTATGCAATAGCTGTCCAGCTGTCTTGAGGTATGCCTAGAATCCTTTTCTGCTTTCTCCTACCCCACATATGTTTGATGCCATCAAAGCTAATAAGGACAGCTGTATCTTTGGCAATACATGTTCAACATAATGTCAGATTTTTAAAAATGTGTCCATATAGGAAGTTGTATTTTTTCTGAAGAAAAAACCATTCTTGCACTCAGTATAATTGGGTATTTGTGAGACCGCCTTCTGTGGCCGATAGCTTCCCACCGACCAGTATGCTCCCACAGAGAGGGACTCCTCAGGGTGCCGTCAGCCAGGCAATGTCAGCTGGCGACCCCCAGGGGGGAGGGCCTTCTCTGTGGTAGCACTTGCCCTTTGGAACGATTCGCCCCCGGAGATACGAAGGATACCAGATCTCCGGGCCTTTCGCCGTGCCCTAAAAACTTTTCTTTTCCATCAAGCAGGGCTGGCGTGAAACCCCCCCCCCTTTTTAGCTCTTTTTAGCTTTTTAGCTTTTTAAGTGTAAATTGGGTTTTAATTGGATTGTTTTAAATTGTGGGCCAAAGCTGTATAATTCTTTTAATTGATTTTAAATTTTGTATTGGTATATTTTTTATCCTTGGCTGTGCACCACCCTGAGTCCAATAGGAGAAGGGCGGTATATAAATTGAAATAATAATAATAATAATAATAATAATAATAATAATAATAATAATAATAATAATAATAATAATAATAATAATAATTCCACTTGCATTGAAAAAAAAGGCAAGGAGAAAGTTAAAAAAATATGCAGGAAAAAGAAATTGACAGAATTTTATCTAGTGAAGAGCCTTATTCTATTCTGTGAATAGAAATAGCACTTCTGTTGGAGAACATGCAAGATCCAACCTACTGATAGTTGATAGAGTATGTTCTAATTTTGAGATGCTTAGTGGGGTGAGATATATACTGTAGTTATATCTAATTCTTCACCAGACCTTTAAGCATACTTAAGAATACTACTTGAATGGTTTTTGTTTATATTTGTCTTTGTATTTTTTAAATTAATGTTATTTTTATGTTGTTCCAGTCTACAGTTTGTTTTCCATATTTTAATTATTCATTGAGAATCACTTTGAGATTTGGAAAATTCAGAAAAAGTATAGAAGTTCATTTAGTAGTAATAACTGAAAAAGAGATGCTTGGGGAATGGTTTAATCAAGGGGAAAAAGATAAAACAGCTGAAGTATGAGAAAGAAGTAGAATCTTTGTCTGAAACTTAACTGCAACTCATCCGTATCCATTAAACTGACATTATTCCAAAATAACCTTCCCAAACTCCAGATGGTTTGTACAGTAATTCCCATTATTCACAGTTACATTTGGGAGCCATGTTAGCTGAGTTGGCTTCTTGGCTGTTTAGGTAACCGAGTATGTTAATTTAAAATATTTTCAAGACCTAAAAATCTGGAGTTCTTACTCTGAAGCTTTCTTTATTATATAACAAATTTGTGGTCCTAGCAAACAGATTTTATAAACTTTCATTTCAAAATGTTTTGAGCACAATATTTCATGAAATGCCCTAATTTTGAGTGCAAAGTGGGCTGTCAGGAATGCTGGAAATATTTTATAATGCTCAAAACTGCCCCCCCGTTTTTGCAAATTTACAAGCTTAAAATGAAATATTGCATGCTAATTATTTGCACTTCGTTTTTTTGATTTCTAATCATGTCAGAATTCACTGGCTATCATGTGTTGAAGCAAGAAATAGTAAAAAAATAATCAGATAATCAGTTATGTTATCTAGATGTAGTAATTTGCCTTGTTACAGAATCTTAGATACTAGAAGGATTTAAACCAAACTTTTGGTTTTAAATTACCGTTTGGAGAATTCTGGCATCTACAGCCATCTTCTGTAAATTGGTTGATCTTAATAATGTAGATAATTTTTTCCTTACTTCTTTCAAAGTTAGCAGCATATATTATTTGCTAAATAAATCCTTGATTTCTCCTTTGGAATACTATCCATACATATTTTTATATTTAAATAATATAATAAGGTAATACAGGGCAACCTTTCCTGGTCTAGCACCTTCCAGAAATATTAAAGTTATTAAAATTGCTTTAAAGTATACTGTTTGGGAATGCTAGGCCAATGCATCTGGAGGGTGCTTGTTTTGATAGGAGACTTGCCAAAAGGTATCCAGTACAGTATCATTTTCAATCTGCATCTTTCCAGTCACCCTTCTACATCCCATAACAAAATAGTTTGATCAGTGTTTACATAGAGTAATTTTGGTGCAGCAATGAACAAGAAATAATAGCTTATTTGAGTGGGAGAGGAAAAACTACTGGATATATAAAGGGGAAGTAAATTTTAACAGTAAGAAGGACCTGAGGAGAGGGGAGCCATCAAAACGCACTGTAAAATGCTTCACATTCCTTGTGTATATTAGTCATCTGTCATAATTTTAGAACACAAATATTCATAGTTAAACTTCTTCTGATGCTGGCTATTAACTGCTAAAATGATATTTTACTAGTGATTACTTTTTTAATTAAGCCCATGTATTAGCCATAAAGCTGCTTGAGTGCATTGTAAATAAAATGTTGTAATAATGAAGTGCTTTAATTACATTCCCTAAAGTATGCATAGTACTCTGTAAATTTTTTATTTAAATTTTTAACATGTTCTATTTTTTTTCCTGAAAGGCAGTTTGAATCTAGCCGTAAAGGCTGCAGCTTTAGCCTTTAAAGTCATTTGAGCAAATTCCATGGCTGTTCTCCCAGTTAGTGAGTTTTCATGGCATTTGCAGCAAGCTAATTGCTTCTGCTAATAAATAATCTAAAATCAATGCTGACAGCAGTTAATTGGCAGAGAGACTTTATTCTGTAAAGCACTTGGCTAACGACCTCCTTTAAATTAATAGCATTAAGTGCTATGAGGAAATAAATCTGAGGAATTGCTTGTCATTTGCTTGTCATGTCTAATAACTTCCAATAATGATAGCTGATAGATTTTTGCACATTCTATTATTGAAGTTGGTGCATGTAATTATTCTCCTCATTATATGTAAACAATTAGCAATATTTGGTGTTTCCTTGCAATAAAGCTGTTGAATAGAACTAGAGGTTAGAAATTCTTTTTGAAGCTCGATTTTGTTTCAGCTGAGTGCAGACATGTCTGTAATTGCATGTATTGCAGGATTTCTCTGGGTCAAATATGTGACTGGAACTGTGGGACTTTTCATTGCTCTCCCCTCTCCTGCATTCATCTTAATGCTCTCTCTCTCACCTATTCTGGGGGATTCCCCAAGTTTTATGGATGAGATTTTGGAGGAGGGAGAAGCAGGACAATCTATTCCGCTAACAAATGTTAATTCGTTGTACTTTTAATTTATGCACTAAAAGACGTGCAATGAAATGTAAAATCTAAAGAGGCCTATCTTGACTAATAGAACCAAAATTTATTTTTAGCTTGAAGAAGTGATGGAAAAAGAAACATATAAGGCTGCTAAATTAATCCTTGAACGATTTGATCCAGAAGCCAAGAAGGCAAAGGTAGGGTCTGATCTCTGTACTAATTTTCTAGAAAATGCACCATAGAGAAAAACATTTTATAATATTATTATAATTGACAGGATGTTGAGCCGCCATCTGCTGGAGCATCTGCAGTTCCAAGACCTGGCCAAGGTAATAGCTCTACGAAACTGCTGCTTCTCATAAGGAAAATTGTATTTACACAATGTAATGTTTATTCCAAGAGGTTTTGAATAATTTGAAACATTGCTCCGTCATGAATAGGATCTGTTCCTAAGCAAGAATTAGAGTAGGAGTGGTTCTTTGTGGATGAGTGAAGGGAGCATGGCTAAAAGAAGCAGAAGATTCCTCCCTCTCTTCGATAGGCATGGTGAATCCATGAAATTAATGGACACAAATATCTAGGGATGTATGTAGGTTTTTCTGCCTGGCTTGACCCTAGATCCCAGGAACAGCAAGCCCTTTGGCTGCAAATAAAATAATTTAAAACCTTTTTTCTATTAGCCATTTTTTCCTCTCACAAGTCCATAACTTGACAAAATTCAGAAGAGAAATTGTTATACATAAACACAAAGACCCCCCTCCTGTCTTTTCAGCAGTGAAACAATATTAAAAAAATATTCATATACATCTGGCAAAGAAATAAGACAAAGCTGAAGTTGTATTTTGAAACCATAGAGAAAAATATTTTTTCATCATGCCTTTTCCTCTAGTCATTTGAACATATACATGGATCAGTTTCTTAAAGAGCTCTAAATAGGATGCAGAAATTTGAAAATAAGTTGGCCTGAAGTAGAATAGTTCAAGGCAGAATTTGAATTGTGTCTCAAATGATACAGAAATCACATAAATTCCTGGACCCTTGGGTGCTAATACTGTTCTTATCTACACTAGGAACATTTTATTCAGAGATGGTCCCTGCCATAAATAATGATACTGAATTCAGAGCTACTCATTGCAGCTTTGCTGGAAGGGCAATTCTAGCTCCAGTTGTATATTCCCATGGTTGTAATTCTATATGACTTAATACTTTATCAGTAACAAATGCGCACACTATATTCAAGTTGGAGTGCTGAACTATCATTTTGGTCTGGTTTTGATTCAATTGGCTGACTCCTATCTGATCCTCAGTCACACCAACAAAATGACAAGGTCAGAGCAGAGCAACATGTTGACAGTATTTCAACACCTACTTCAGAACTCATTATCCATGGCAAATTCCTGCAGAGCCAAAGGCAGTTTTATGTATTAAGGATGATTTAACAAGCCTCCCCTTCCCTTTGAATGAGAGGTATTATGATAACAAACTCATTACTAACTAGGTATCTGATCTTTTTTTGCATGGACTTGAAGTTGCTGTTCAGCCTCCCCAACAGAAATGTAACCACAGCATCTCACTGTTCCATTATCTAAATAACCAAATATTTTTCTGAAGTCAAAAATTGGAGCAACTTGTTTATTTCTGCACTGATCAGGTCTGATAACCACAGGAGAATTTCACTGTGTTTGGTAGATTTTGAATAGGGGTGTGATAATGTTTGGATAATTATCTAGTGGTCCAAAGTTCATTTGATTTATACTTGAATATAAGAGATTTGCATTTAAATGTAGGTTATGTCATCTGTACACTTCTTCAAAAACACCAAGAGATACATCATTGCTTCACTGTTGTTCAGGTGAGACCCTCTTATACAGTGATAGGATTAAGTGCAAGAATAGATTGCTCTGCTAAATTTAGTGCACTCTTCTGCTACTTTTGGAGCGCAACTTTCTTTCTCCTGCTTTGGCTAATACAAATCTGTTGCTTGATCTTGAATCACTTGGAATGTTGTTCTCTAAATTAAGTATGTGAATATTCTGTCAGAACTTCGCCATCGGACCCCAGTGCGAGAAAATGTGCCTCCACCTGTCCCAGTTACATCAAAACAGGGATCTCCAAAAGCTATGGGTCTAGTGCCGCCACCATCTTCTGGCTTGCCAAGAGACATTTCAGCACCCGGGGGACCTCCGGAGAGAACTCTGTCATCAGCCTCACCGCCAAATATGTTACCGCGACATCCTGGGTCCCGTACTTCCTCAATGCCTGGAATGGGTAAACAGAGCACTTAATGTTGTTTACAGTTTATATTGTTTCCTCTAGTTACCAATAAAACAGGCCATTTTCAGACAGTATGGAAATAACATTTTGTTGGGAAATAGAAGAGCAGTTATCTGATTAAGCAGGAGTTCCATATTCAATTAGCCATAACTCTTTACAGCTGGCACCTTATGATAGCGAAGCCTATTGCCTGAGCTCATTTAACTGTTATGGCTTCTTTGTTTAAATGGCAATAAAACTTTGCAGGATTCTGTAGTCAACAATATAGCATACCTTTTTATGTTCTTGCTTTAGGCAAGCTCCAGGCTTATATAAATCAGGTACATAAGAAAACACTTTCAGAATACATTCAGTTTCATACAAAGCTCTGGGCATATTTTTAATGCATGTTTTGACATTTATTTAAATTTTTCTTCTAAACAAAAAATACAGTGCTGTAAAGATTAAAGCGTAAAATACTCAGGAACTGAAGAGGATTTTCCCCATTAGCAGAACTTTCTAAAATAACAAGCTGATAACCAGGAGTTAATATCACTTAGCATCTTATTTGAAACATTTGACCTCAATTTGTTTTAACTGAACTCGGAATTTCTGTTTTGTAGATGCATCTTTTTTCAGATGTGGATATAAAACTTTGCAATGAGTATTTCTCATTTATTCACAGCATTTATAGGCTACCTCAAACTGTGTGGAAGTACAGTTGCAAGAAAAAGTCTGTGAACCCCTTGGGATTACGTGGAGTTTTGCATGAATTGGTCATAAAATATGCTCTGAACTTCATCTAAGTCACAATAGAAAAACACAGTCTGCGTAAAATAATACTACACAAACATTAGATGTTGCCATGGTTTAATTGAACATAACATGTAAACATTCACAATGCAGGGAGGAAAAAGTATGTGAGCCCCTAGCCTAATGACTTCTCCAAGAGCTAATTGGAGCCAGGAGTGAGCCAACCTTGACTCCAATCAGTGTGATGATATTGGATGTGTTGCTGACAGCTGTCCTGCCCTTTAAAAACACACACCTGTTTTGGGTTTACTGGTTTCAAGAAGCACTGTCTGATGTGAACCATGCCTCGTAGAAAAGATCTCTCAGAAGACCTGCGATCAAGAATTGTTGACTTGCATGAAGCTGAAAAGGGTTACAAAAGTATCTCCAAAAGCCTTGATGTTCATGTGTCCACGGTAAGACAGACTGTCTACAAATGGAGAAAGTTTAGCACTGTTGCTACTCTCCCTAGGCGTGGTCGTCCTGTAAAAATGACTGCAAGAGCACAGCGCAGAATGCTTCTTGAGGTGAAGAAGAATCCTAGAGTGTCAGCTAAAGACCTACAGAAATCTCTGGCACATGCTAACATTTTTGTTGACACATCTACAATAAGGAAAACATTAAACAAGAATGGAGTACATGGGAGGACACCACGGAGGAAGCCATTGCTGTCCAAAAAAAATATTGCAGCACGTTTGAAGTTTGCAAAAGAGCACCTGGATGTTCCACAGCACTACTGGCAAAATATACTGTGGACGGATGAAACCAAAATTGAGTTGTTTGGGAAGAATACACAACACTATGTGTGGAGAAAAAAAGGCACAGCACACCAACATCAAAACCTCATCCCCACTGTAAAACATGGCGGAGGGAGCATCATGGTTTGAGGTTGCTTTGCTGCCTCAGGGCCTGGACGGATTGTTGTCATTGATGGGAAAATGAATTCCAGAGTTTATCAAGACATTTTGCAGGAAAATGTACGACCATCTGTCCCCCAACTGAAGCTCTGCAGAGGATGGGTGCTGCAACAGGACAATGACCCAAAGCATACAAGTAATTCAACAAAAAAATGGTTTCAACAGGACAGAATACGCCTTCTGGAGTGGCCCAGTCAGAGTCCTGACCTCAACCCAATTGAAATGCTGTGGCATGACCTTAAGAGAGCGATTCACACCAGACATCCCAAGAATATTGCTACACTGAAACAGTTTTGTGAAGAGGAGTGGTCCAAAATTACTCCAGATCGTTGTGCAGGTCTGATCTGCAACTACAGGAAATGTTTGGTTGAGGTTATTGCTGCCAAAGGAGGGTCAACCAGTTATTAAGTCCAAAGGTTCACATACTTTTTCCTCCCTGCACTGTGAATGTTTATATGTTATATTCAATTAAACCATGGCAACATCTAATGTTTGTGTAGTATTATTTTAAGCAGACTGTGTTTTTCTATTGTTGTGACTTAGATGAAGTTCAGAGCACATTTTATGACCAATTCATGCAAAACTCCACGTAATCCCAAGGGGTTCATATACTTTTTCTTGCAACTGTAGGTAGCAAAAAACAATTCAGTGTACAATAAAATTAAAAAATCAGAAACATTACAGTATTTTTAAATTAATCCATTAGGATTACCCAAACCATACTAAATACCAAAAATGTAGCACCAATTTTACTTCTGTTCAGAAAGCAAGAAGGTTTGCAGTTTCCCATAATTCAGGTATTCCATGGAGTTGGGCTGCTGCTGAGAGAAGTCTTATCACCTGATTCATAGTTTATATGCTTCTTGCATTTAATGCTAGTTAATTCTCAGGGTGCCTTTGTCCATCTTTTCCTGCTTCTGAGCAAAGTCCAAGTATTAAAGGATGAGGTTGTTTTCCAAGATGGATGGCTGGCTCTCAACATACTCTACCTTAATTTTTTTTTTTTTGGCCTGTCTTGCTTTAAATTATGACCTACTTTGAGTCCTCTGTTTAATTTCAAGCTGTGTTTATGTAACATAGTATGTTTGATTTTCCACATGATTATCCTGGAGACAAAGTTATTAACTATACAGTAGGTGACATTGTCTAAGCCTATCTTCCCCTACATTGCACAAACTCGGCTCCACATCTAGGCATGTTTATGTTGTCAAGCTAAGTGGTAACTGACTATATCCAAAGAAGCTAAGTTAAACAAGAGTTCTTGGTTCTTTATATAGAATGCCAGAATGTGATACTCCCGTGGAAGAAATAAACTGAAAGCACTTCATGCAAAAACATTTCTCCTTGAGAAATGAGAAGATTTGAATACCAAGTTCTTGCCATCAAGAACTCCCACTATAGAAGTATTTAGATTCCGTTAATTCTTTGTTTGATTTTACTATAAATAGGAATCATTTTATTGGAGCCAATTAGCAGATGCAAGTCTGCGTATCCACGGGAATGCATTGGTGCAGTAACAGGAAATGGAAGGAGTTGAGTCTGTGAGGAACTCTTGCAGGATGAGTGAATGATTATGAAGCCATGTATGAGGAAACTTTATATTTCTTACTTTGCACTGTTTTGGGCTGTTGATGATTTGGAATGGGGACTTTTAGTTCTTTTAGAAATAATTTTTGTATTTGGTGGTGTTTCAGCTCTAACAATGCCAATAAACTGACATGTCACTTACAGATCGGCACATACTTCATAGCAATATAAAGTTATTTTAACTTTTCTAACTGAACTGTATTAATAAAAGCTGAACCATACATTTAGAGAACGTGATTATTAATAATACAATAATAATTTAATATTACAATATAAATAGGTAATGCTATAACATTATCAATCCTAAATGTAGACTGTGAATTCTTTGAAAACAGCCATAGCTTTTATGCAACTGCTGTCACATGACAATGGTGGGTCTAAATACAAGCAAAATATAGCAAAATATTATTTTATTTTGGAGTTCCAATCAGCAAGCCAGATTCTGTTGATGAACAGGTCTCACCTGTTGCAGAGCCCTGTTTTTCAGTGAATAGTTTGCGTCCTGGTTTTTTCACCTCTTTTTGGCCTTCGGGCACATTGAAATTTTGAAAGTGTGTTGTAATTGCCCTGAAAGCCCATTTGCAAAGTGACCATTGTAGTGGCAGGACTCATCACAAACTAAAAATTCAAGTGCGTTGTGAAATTGGGAGGTTGCCAAGAGGAAGATTCATTGGCGCACTGATGCTAATTGGCATTGCTAAAGCTTCCAGATGTTAATAAAATTATCTTCTGAATTGTATGTTTTAAAAATATTATTTTGAACTTTCTTTCCCAAGCCACATAGTGTCTTCCAGCACATTGGCAGTCTTACTTTTTATTTCCCAGTGGTTTCTTCCCCCCCGCCCCCTCAGCATTCAGTACTAATTTTGCTACGTGTGTGTGTGTGTGTGTAATACAGTTGCTGCCCTACTATAAAATCGTTTTTTGATTTGAAATTAAAAAATCAAGCTCTGCGATAAGCAAGTGATAGAAGATTTCCCTATTTCTCTGCTTTGACGTATTGATCCTGTGATGATTTAATGTTTGTCTGTGACAGACAGAGGCTAACCTATTCTTCACTTTGGAGGCATCCAGCAACTGGTTCTTTCCAGGATTCCGTAAAAGTTGGCAGTTCTAATGGGTGCATCTTATCTTCCATGGATTTGGGGGGAGGGGGGCGGTATATGCCAAAGGTACATTTGAGGCAGGCAAGAAAAAACCTTAAATATAATATAAAGATAATGTTGTGTGGAATCTTTTTGTCTTTACTCTAGTAGGGTAGGACTATTTCTACTATGTCCTACTAAATTTCTGAATACTTTGTATGGGTAGCTTCAGGTGTCTCTGGCAGACAGATGTAAGACAATGTAGGGAAGAAAAATTTATGCACTCTTCCATTTTTTTAAAAAAAATGACCCATATCCATTAATTGTAATAATTGTTAATGATAATTGTTAAATGTGATCAATTTAAGTATATCTTTTGGCAATTAAGAAATGAACACCCTCAGTTAATTCAGTTTTGTAACATATACGATGACAGTCCTGGTGATGGTATTGGTACAGGAATTTCATTGATCATTAACACTGTATGTAATATTTAACTTATAATGCATCCTTAGCAGCATAAAAATAATCAGGTTTCTTGAGCTACGATTTCCCATCTTATGAGAAATCGCAGTCAAAGTCCATATGACTGTATTTAATTAGCTTTAAACTAGAAAAGATCATTCATTTTTTCATTACATTATACTTTGTGGAAGAGAATCAATTTAACATGTATTATTACAGAGCTTCCATATGTCTAAAAATTAATAACCAGCAGGTAGTTGAGAGTTTGCCAAGCTTTGCAGAAATAGCCAGCCTGCCCACAATTATTGCTTTTGATGTTCCTATTAATTACCGTTGTCCATATCAGCATGAAGAATAAGAAATGTGCTTAGATGGTTTGTTACTGTGCCAAGTAACCAGAGAGATTCTTGGGGCACATGAGCTCTTGTTTTAGGCTTCCTAATTATAGTTAGGCTTTACTTTGCAATAGGCAGTTCCAGTTGAAATTGTATTCAAAATGTGCATAATAATAATAATAATCTTGAGTGCTAATTTGTTTTTTGTTTTTGTTTTGTTTTGTTTTGTTTTTGTTCTCTGCTCCTAAAACTATTTATTTGAAAAAATATTCCCTTTTGTTGGCAATTAGACATTGTTGGACTCTTATTAATCTGTGTAAAATAAAATAGAGTCTTATTCAATTTGTCTAATAATTATAATAGAAATTAACGTTTGCAGTTTATATCCCTAAATTTGTTTTTTTCTGTTTGTGATAGTAAAGTCTGGCAGAGTTTAGGCCTTAAGAATTCTTGACTTCAGGGAGCAAATACTTCAAACTACTTCCTAATCTGAGGTTCTCCAAATATGTTATATTACAACTTCCACAATTCTCAACAAGTAATTCCAAAATATATTGTAGTCTAACAGTGTCCAGGAATTGACATTGTTGCTAGACCAACTTGCAAAGGAATGTGCCTTCATAGATTTGAATGGAAAACATCATGAGGAACCTACTGGAAGAAAGTCTACCAGTATTGTTTTGCTTGTCTGATAAGAAATAACTATGTAATTTAAACATAAATTTTTAAACATTTTCATGATATTTGATCCGAAACCTGTTTCTTCTCAAGAAGTTTATGCACGACAAATTTCCATGTATTTTTCATTCAGTACCCATTGAGACACATTCATATACAGTCACCCTAAATAGTTTGATTTTTCTGAATAAATATATTATCTGGTTGGTTGGTCAGTCTGGTCCATCCATCTGTCCATCCATCTATCCAGTTTATATTGTAGCCACCCACTTGTCAAATGACTATATGGCCAACTAAGGTTAAAAACATCAGCTAGAAAGGAAAATTGTAAAAATAATAGGACCTAAAAAACTAAAAGATACTGCATTTGGAATCAGTCAGTTTACTCATAATTGCCACAAGCTTGTGCCCCATCCTGGCTCAGTCTCTAGTTTGAAAACTATTAGGCTTCCATTTAAAAATGTGTATGTTGTATGTGTTACACTAGAGCTGGTAGTCCTTTGGGACAAGTAGTAAGGCAGATTGTACCCAAAACAACAGCCCTTCAGGGAACAGCACCTCCTCCTACAAGGCATGGATAATAGCCATCCTTCACCTCTAAATAAGATGCTTGAGAATACTCTTGATGACATTACAATTTGATTATCAGAGCACAGCATGTTTTACCAATCCTCAGCAGCTGAGCCATTCTGTGGAGCATAATGGTAACAATTGGAAATTAAGCCTCTTCCTTTCTGAATTAACATATTACACATTTTTGATGCTTAATTGCTGCTTGAATTTTTTTTTTGAAAGTACTAGAGTAGGCAGATCTTGATCTGATCTAATGTACTTAAGTACATTCTTGCTTTTTTTTTTAAAAAAAAGCTATACTTTAAATATTAAGGTATTCGTTAATGAAAATTCATCAGTGAACTAGGCTTTCTGATTTAAAAAAACCCCAAGATTAAAATCATCACTGCATTGGAGTGTGACACTGAAATGGAATTTGAAAGCAGGGATTTACAAATATGCTGAAGTTGTTTGTTAATATTAAAAATAATTATGTTTTATTTGACCCAATAAACCCAGTTCTTCAGGCTGACTAGAAGATGAGCTGCATATTAAAATCACTAAAACAGTAGAACACAATAATAAATACTCTAGGGCGGGAAATAAGAATATATAAAAGCTATGATATGGGCAGTTAAAATCAAATTTATTTATAAAACACTTAGAAGAAGAAAAATACTTTAGTTTGTCATTAAGATTTGCCTTAAAATTGGAGGGAACGGAGTCTTCAACATAGCATCCTTCTGGATAGGAGATGGAGAGCACTCTTCTTTGCAGCCTTATGGAGGTCTTGTCAATGATTGCTGGACTACCTCATGTAATAATATTGGGGAGCAATTGTTACCTGGCAGTGATTCTAATGTAGTATTGTTTAGACAGGAATGGATGTCAAAGTAAAAGCATTCACCTGAGGCATGGTCAAAGGAGGCTGCAGTTCTATGTGTAATCCAGTGCCTGGAGTGAGGTGTTTTTTTTTCTACTCTGAATTCTGTTTTGCTCACAGAACAAACATTGACTCCTTTCTATGTAGCTCCTTCCTGTTCAGGGGCTGTTTCCCATAATTAACGATAAGGAAGTGACCATGGGTCCATCTAGTTCAGTATTGTTGGCACCAATTGTCAGCTGCTCTTTAAGACCTTAAATCGGAACGTTATCAATTCTTCCTGAAAAGGCCAGTACAGTGGGATATAATGTAATTTCTAGAATATGTTTGAGCCATTTTCCTATAGTGTGTCTCATATAGATTGAAACATTTTTATTTCTACTGAAGTTATATTAGATTGAAAGCTACTTTTGTCTTCCAGGCCTTCATCCTCCGGGACCCCCGTTGGCCAGACCTATTCTTCCTCGAGAAAGGGGAGCATTAGATAGAATTGTTGAATATTTAGTTGGGGATGGTCCACAGAACAGGTAAAATGTTGCTCATAATATAATTCATACAATAAATGAATTTTATAGCCATGGAATGAAATGGTAGCAATTTCTTATCTTACTTTGTAGATAACATCAGAAATCTATGTCTACCTACTCCATCTGAGATGTCCCTGAGACATCTTCAATTCTTCAGTCTTCAATTCTTCAGTTCCTTGAATTCCCTCACCACCATGCCCATTATTGAGAATACTGGGGATTGAGACCCAGATTTGCAGAAGCATCTAGATTGGTGCTGTGATAGACTGCACTCTGCCAAATAACAGATATTCTTGTTGTGGTTTTTCTCCTTGGTTTTCTTGTCTCTTGCATAAATTAGGGAAAGTAAAGAAAGCCATGTGGAATCAGGCTCCTTACAGTGTCAACCTAGATTCTGTACAGATGGTTCTCGCTTAACAAACAGTGGTTTAGCAATTGTTTGAACTTACAGTGGTGCTGAATGAGTGGCAGTTACAGTTGGTCCTGGTACTTAGGTCACTTCCATTGTGTCCACGACCATATATTTGTAATCCAGACACCTGGCTTGTCATTAAAATGTCATAGCATTTCATTGTCCTATGATCATCATTTGCAACCTTTCTGGCTGGTTTCTGACAAGCAAAGTCAATGGTGAAACAGGCAGAAGGTCTCACATGGCAACCACATGACATTCTTGCTTAATGATTCAGTGATTTGCATAATGATGGCAACTGGAATTTCCATTGCAAAGCAGTGTGGTTATATAACGTGCTTTATGACTGCACTGTTTAGCGATGGAAATTCCAGTTCCAGTTATCATAGTTAAGTGATAACTACCTGTATACCTAGTCAGAAGTAAATCGTACTGAGTTCAATTGACTTTAATTTGATTGCAGCCGTTGTTTATCTTTCTAATAATATATGTGAATAGTTTCATGGCAGTTTTTTTTTTTATCTGAGAAGAATAGTCACAAATTGTAATAATATATAACTGATGAGGCCAGATATGTCAACTATTGCTTAATATAAGCCTTTACAAAAATTAGCATGGCGGCATGAGTGTGAGAGTTCAAAATAATGATACTTAAGAAACCAAATTGCAGATCCTAGACTAAAAATACTATGATGCTGCCCGGAATTTGCAATTATGGTATATTTATAAAAAAACGATCTATTCAGCACCCTATTTTGTCATCTGCACACATGAATTAAAGGCAGGAAATGATGAGGGAATAGGCACTTGAGGTTCCTTCAGATATTATACTAAATATGCGGACATTGTGGAGTGGAGTCCAGAGATCAGGTGCAAGTTAGAGGACACATGGGGATAAGCATATTTCTGAATTTTAATGCTGTCTGATGTGAGACGAATTGTTAAACTGATAATTTTGGCTCTGATCCTTTCTTTAGATACGCCCTGATATGCCAGCAGTGTTTCTCACATAATGGGATGGCTTTGAAGGAAGAGTTTGAATATATTGGTAAGAACAAATCTATTTAGTTCGCTATTTCAGTTCTAACCAAGGTGCACTTAGGCTTATATTTATATATCATGTTGGTTTTTCCTTTAGATTAAAAACTTCATTCTGTTGTCTAAAAGTTCTTGAAATTGTTATTGTTTTTGAAAAGCTTAAACAAAACTAATTATTTACCATGCACATAAATATTTACCACACTGTTTGGGGGAGTAGGAGTCAAATCTATCTGGAAAGCACCTGATTGGAGGAGCCAATTTTCTGGGACCTGCAGGTAAACAAGCTGGCTATAGAAATGAAGTTTTTGTTCGTACTCTTAAGACTATTTTGGTATAAATAATTCCCTGAATTGTTTTAAAGTTTTAGGTCCTTATTTTGCCAGAATTTAAACAAACAGCAGAATTGGTGGAAAACACTAGAAATGAAGCAGGGGCAGGCTCCAGGGTTATACTTTAATTTTATGTTAGTAATTTAAGGTAGCCTTTGGTGAACAGAGGTGTTAGTTTTGCTTCTTATCAGCAAACACAAATCAGCATGCAAGTAATGCAGATACAGGGTCTTTTGTCTTTCATGTGGATTTACCCTCCCATGTGCTCTTAGCTTTGTGAATATGTTCAAGACAATAATCAATGCACTTATGATGTTCCAGCACTAACAAGGTATCAGAATGTTTTGTTGAAATACACCCTCATTCTCTGTGCATGTATAGCCAAAATATTGACTTTTCCAACATATTTCTTTTTCAGCTACATTGATGTAGGCTTATTAGTTTGTATAAGTTATACTCTGCATATAAATGACATATTAAATTTTATAGACTGACATTTGCCTGCTTGCTGTAACTCTTTGGTTTGGGATAAGCTGTATTTTTTCCAGGAATATATAATACAGTATTTTCCCAACTTTATCTGAAACCCCTCTTTAATTCATGAAATATTAACAGCAATGCTTGGAAACAAAAATGTAACATTTTATAAATATTCAGAATCCGTATGCATAGTAAAAGATTGGTGAATCAACTTATTGTTGAGTCCATGTCAATTTCAGTTTTTCCTCACTTTTTTTAAAAAAATAGATTTATTATGATTGATAGAATTTATCAAATACTACTACTTGTATGATTGAATTGATAATTTGTCCTAAAAGCATGTTTGATAATCTGTAATCTGTACTCTAAAAAAAATGTTTCTTTTAAACTTTTAAAAGTTGTTAAGTTTTAAAAAGATTACAAATAATACTGTATTTCCTGAAAGGCACTGATTATAATTTTGTAGCATTATATATAAACTATATACAGCTATCAAAAAGTGCTCTATTCTAAAAAAGTATACAAAATAGAAGTTAGTAAATAATCCTACCATTATTGTGTAACATCATGATATACCATCATCATTATTATAAAATATATATAATCTCAACAAAGAGATCCTGGGTATTAAATCTTCCAAAAAATAAACCAGTATCTTATTAAAATAAAAATAACTAGTATCCTATTAATCTCTTTAAAATATCTAATTGAAACAAGATAGATATTGTTCACATAAAGACATGCATTTTTATATTATTTTCATATTAATTTTGTATATATTATACACACACACGCTCATCTACCTCTCAAAAACCATTGTCATCTGGGCAGTTTAGAAATGTTCTTATCCACTAAAATGGATAAGTTCGTGTCATGTAAATATTACATATATTCTATTTTGGTTTTCCCAAATACGTAATTTTTGAGCATAATTTTTAGCTTGAAAATATTTTTAGATGGCTACTTGCAGATTCCATTTATGTTCTGAATTGCTGCAGACTACTTGAAGAGAAATATGTTACAGATGATTCCCACACGCCTAGTATAAATACCCCCACAAACACTCAGATTTGAATTTAAACTCCTATAAAACTACAGAATGTGAATAATTACCTGTTGTCTTCAAAATCTGAATTTGCTCTTCTTTACTCAAGACAAAACAGATTACTTTCTTCTTCAGAAGACAACAGTTCAAACCATTAAAAATCTCAGATCCTTTGTTGACTGAGCTTTTATGTGAGCAATATAAATATAGCAATAGACCTCAGTTGATGAAGAATGTTGACTTAATAATTTAAGTCATCTTAAAGTAACTTCATATAATGATCTTTTAGCCTCATGTCTTTATTGTCTGATATTGTTTCAATTGATCACATAATTCCCTTTTTACCACATCCAATCCAAAGTTAAAATGTAAAGATTGATCAGTGCACTTGTCCTACAAAGTAGCTTTTACTATTTAAGTCTTTAAAATTTCAAGCTGTGGGGAAAATCCCTATTAGGTAGATTGCCATCTTTTCCCCCCTTGAAGCTCAAAATCCAGGCAATAGTAATTGGTATACATTTGGGAGGTAAGCAAGAACTAGAATAGGGTTTTCTGAATGAAATAGCAGCTATTTCTTGGGACAAAAAGTACCAGGCCTCTGATCAAGCCATTTGTCCTCTTCATCACTACGCCTCTGTCATCAAGATGGCTCCCTCTGCTTATTATCACTCCTATTTTACTCTTTCCCTCTATTTGCAGAGCTTTAAAGAGAAGAGATGCATAACTTTTAAATTTAAAGATAGATCAGTTAAATTCTAACTGCTTACCTATTTCTTCCCTCTGTTGGGACTGCAGCCAATGACTAGCAGAGAATACTGATAAAAGAATCTTTACTAAGTCAATATTTCAGTAGATAGATGGCTTATTAAAGCAGTGGCCTCCAGACATACGGCTGTGCTCATTTTCTATTCAAATGGCTTAACAGAAGCAAACTGTTTAAAGCAGTAGGTAAATGTGGCCTCAACTTCAGAATGGAGATAAAAAGCTGCTTTAAGATTCCTTTGTCCTTCTGTTCATTCATGGAATCCATACCCTTCAGTTGGACAAAATTGGAAAGTATCGGGCAACAATTATTGAACCAAGATAACTCAGATGGGCTAACTTACAGAATGCTGGAACCCCACGACTCCTATGGAAAAGAAAAGAAACTTGGGAAAGTTGTGGCCGCTTCAGTGCCACTTCAGCGTCTGGCTACACTTTCTAGAAAGTGTAGATTGTATGGTACAAGATAAGATGGGAGGACTGTATGCCTGCCCACCTTTCCTACCTCCCTCTGGTTCCTGCACACAGTTGGATGGTGGCAAGATCTGACAGGCAAATTGGCTATTTTGGAACTGAGGAGGAAATTTGAAATCTCTTACTAGTAGTGGGCGGTGAGAGAAGGATGAGGAAGTGACTTGAATGCTTGAAGGTAAGGTAGGGCTAGCTGGAGAGTGCCAGCAGCTGACAGCTGAGCCCTCTTCCTTCATGGAGAGCAGGGACATTAGGGACATGTTGAGATGGGGATTCGGGTGGGGAGTGGGGGTACAGTTTTCCTCATGGTCCCTCACTCCCTTTGTTCCCCTTCTCCCGATAAAGTGGCAGGCAGTTTTTAAGTTCAGTCGAGGAGGAGGAATAGTGATTTCTGATGTTCCCTGCCAGCTTCCCACAAGCAAAGTCAATGAGAAAGCCAGCAGGAAATCAAACGTTTCTCCTACTCCTACTGGTACACCCGGTTGGCTGATGGCAAAGCCTGATAGGGTGAGCGATGATTGGCTGCTTTGAAATTGAAACTGAAATTTGTAATCTTTAAATGGTGGTACGTGGGAAGGGAGTGGCTCGTATGCTTGCTTGCAAGTAGCGTTGTTTGGAGACTATCGGCAGTCACCAGGTGTGCTCTTTTTCTGGTAAATGAGGAAGCTGGCAGAAAGTTGGAAGTTGATCCCTTTCCATTCCCATTGCTTTTTTGCTCATCTGTGATCACTTTGTTTCTCTGCTTAGATAAGGAAATATCTTTGAAAGGAGACCCAATAAGTTACGTATTGTCTAGTGCAGGGGTGTCAAACTTGATTTCATTGAGGGCCGCATCAGGGTTGTGTTTGACCTCAAGGAGCCAGTGGGGCAGCGCCAGGGTGGGTGTGGCCAGCTCGACGTAACTCGTTGAGACCCTCTTTTTGACCCCTAAGGTCTCCTACAGCCCTCTGCCAGTGAAAACGGAGTTTGGGGGGTCCGGCTCTGTCTAAATATTTGGGTGCAAGTGTAATGTTGGAGCATGCCCAGAAAAGCACTGAACTCTGTTCTCCCCTTCTATTAATCTCACTTGGGCAAAGCATTTTCAGCATCCCTATTTAGGTTGAACAAGACATGACAAGTTGATTTACCTGAAATGGGAGGAGCTGCAGATACCCTGTTCTGAAACTAAAAAGGCTTTATATGCTAAAGCCAGCACTCTGAATTGTACTTGGAAGCTGAATGATAACTAATGCAGTGTCTGCAAAATCATTCCTATGTGGTATTGGCGATGCTCCTTGTCAGTAGACATTGCCAGTAGGTGCTGGAGTCTGCACTTTCTGGGTAGTCTTCAAAAATAGCAAAATGCATTGCAGTCATCAGTTGGAAAGGTAAATGAGGCCATGGGTGACTGATGTGGGGCATGATGCTCCAGGAAGGGTTTTAACTAATGCACTAACCAAAATTGGTGTTTTCAAGAGTAACATCAAAGAATAAAAATAGATTATAGCAAGTGTAAACAAGAGCTCTGAAGTTCAGTGAGTTCATTGGATATGCCTATATAATCTTTTGTGCAGCCTTTCGGTGCGCCTACTGTTTTTTCCTGAATCCTGCAAGAAAAACCAGACCACAAGCTCCACGGCTTCCGGATTTCAACATTGAAAATAAGCCAGCTTCTGTAATGGAGAGCAGGACTGAAGCTCTGCAGTCAGAGGAGGAAAACATACAACAGCCTGAAACAGAAGAAGGTATGTAGATAGGAAGGCCCAGTTATTCAATGAAAATAGAATCAGCGTAGTTTGGTCAAATGATTTGAGGGATTTGCATTTTTCTTGCGAAGGTAACAATGAAAGATTGCCAGTATATGTATGATACCACATATATATATAGCTAAAGACAACAAGTGCAGAGAAATCTTATATATTGCTTTCTTTAAGGATGCTATCTTGGATCATATATATATGGTAATATGTGTAGTCTTCTTTATTCCTTACAATTTAGAATTCTTGGTGGAGGGGGGCGATATTGGGAGGCAAAGTGCAGCTACAGGAACATCCCAAGCCTTTTCAAATTTTTCAGGAATATTTTCTCTTTGCTATCTGATATTTTATCATTAAATTTGTTTTTTAAAAAAATAAATATTGGGTTCTTCTGTTAATTAATTATCCATATTAAGAATTATATTCACTTATTAAGGGATTTGGGTCATCATGAGGTTACATGTCATAGTTTTGGGCACATCATCAGGTTGAGGTGAATCGAAGGTCCAGCTTTTATTCTAAATGAAAAAGTTGAAATGTTAATTTTGATGTTTCCCCAAAGGATAGAAAATCTAGTAAAACAGACTTGCTTAAAAATGGGGAATTCAAAGTGAGGTTGTCAGATTTAATTTATCAAAGTTCCTTTAAAGAAGTTTTGTAAATTTGAAATGCAGTAGGGACCTTGTATTCAGCTAACAGGAAAAAGAAGCATTGTAAAAATATAATTTAGGCTGTTAACTGTTGATTTCTTCTTTGAAGAGCACACCCTGTGATGAAGGGATGTAATATGTAGAACACTTTCGTGAGGCTTTAGGCAGAAGACTTTCTTCAGAATATACTGGAAAATATAACTGGTGATGATTGGTAGAAATAATGATGATGGTCAAAAATACTTTTGTAACCTTTTACAATGCTGGTTGATATTTTTCCATATGGCACAAACAAGCAATTTTTCAAATCTGTAAAATAATTTACATGGATGTAGGAAGAGCCCTTTTAGATGAAATTGAAGGAGCATCTGACACACGAACAAGGCATAAAGGAAACACTCTTTTTTTGCTATTAATTTTTCAGTGAGTAATGTTCAGCAACAGATTTAATTTGGCCATAATACTAAGTTATAATATGCATGTTTGATTTTTTTTTTTTAACTCTGATAAGGAAACTTAATCCAAAGAACACCGTGATTTCTTTCAGGGCAAGAAAACATACTTTGAAACCATGATTTGCAAATCTTTGTTTATGAATCCTGACTTGCAATATCTCTACTCAGAAGTAATCCTTATTTGTTTTTGTGCTCTTCCTAGAGTAGGGAATCAGTAGAAGAGAGGAAGGAAAAAGAAACCAGGAATTGGCAAAACAGTCCAGTGCTTTTTCTTCAAGATTGTCTTTGACTTCTTGGGGGAACCATCATTAAAACAAATCTCGGATTAGCGTGTTACTATGAAAGCAGCCATCGACTGCTTCTGAAAATAAAGTTGGTATTTAACTGTAATGGCTGATAACTGTCTACATAGTTTTGTTTGGTGACTTTTCCAAGTTATTTGGGTTCTTCTCTTCATGTTCATTGCAAACACAAACATTTTTTTATGTTAAGTCACTTATCTAGAACATTCTTACTGTTCTTTTGTACCTAAAATCTTCTGTGGAAAAAAGTATATTGAAAGATGCCAGTGAGATCCCATTAAAAAAAATTGTTAAGAGAAATAGGAGGACAATTACTTTTAACATTTGTCTCAGACAAAACAGTTGAAAGTATTACAGCATTATTACAGAGAAGCAAACATACATGAATGAAATGAGCCTTGCTGAAAAGCAACTAATATGGCATCTGCAAACATAGGTCTTGTATGTATAGTTTATTGTATAGTTTATTGAATAGCCCGAAGGCCTTTTCAAACAAAACAGAAAAGAAAAAGGGAAAAAGGTAAAACGGTTACAAAAATAGCAATTTAAAAATATATGATAGATGACGTTAAAATTTTAACATAGGTCTTGTGAACCTTCTACACTTTTTTTTGAGGGAGTCAACAAGTAAGGTAGACAAAAACTTCCCTTGAAGTTACTCTGTATTTCAATTTTCAAAATGCTTTTAACAAATCCCTCACTAAAGACTCTTGATGTTGTGGCCCGTCAGTGGCCTGTGCAGTTAGTAGGTGATTCTGACAGCGAGGAGGCTGGTCTGGTGCTGCGCCAGCAGCCTGTGAAGCTGGAGCTCGAGTCAGACAATGAGGAGGCTGGAGAAGATGTGGTGCCAGAGGCAGGGATTCAGCCAGGGCCTTCAGAACCTCCAGAAGCTCCCATAAGTGAAGAGGAAGAAGAGGAGGAGCTTCTTCTCGATGCACGAGTGTGCAGAGCTGTTAAAAAGCAGGAGTGGCTCCTCAGGAGGAGGTCTCGAGTAAGGCTTGTTGCTAATTGGCCACACCCCTAGCCTATTTAAGGAAGGACGACTGATGCAATTTGCAGGAAACAACTTCGTTCATATTCCTTCACGTCTTGATTTCAGAAACATTTGATTTGGCTCTTGTTTATCTCTTGTCAGTTTTCCTGCAAATTGCTTCTGGGCATTCTGCCAACCACAGTAAGATTACGGTTATCTGAAATACTGTGGCTCAGAATTGAGTTATTATTCTTTGGATTCTTGTTGGCTGTTAATGAAGTTAAATTAACAGCCCTTGTTCAGAAAAGACTGATTTAAATTGTACTTCTGTTCGAACAACTACTAAGAAAGCTCATTAGTAGTCCTTAATTACTAAACTAAGATTTGTATGGACTTTGTGTGTACTGCGTTCTTTGGGGTCCGTAGCTGGGGTAGAACACTTGAGCAAACCAAGCTGCCATGGACAGTGCTCTCATGGATTGACAGTTGGATTAAAAATAGGAAACAGTGTAGAAATAAATAGACAATTCTCACACTGGCAAGTTGAGCAAAGTTGGGTTCTCTAGGAAATGTATTTATATATATAAATGATCTGGAGTTTGTACTGAGTCTGAAAAGTGGCTGTGTGGTGATGATCTGAAGCTGTTTGGGGTGGATGGTAAAATCAGTAAGGGATTGTGAAGAGCTCCAAAAGAAATTTTCCATTTTTTTCCAAAATGGCAAATGTGATTTAACATAAGTGCATGTAAAAGTGCATGTTATTGGGGTGGGAGTTGGCAGTCACTAACCAAGAAAGGATGGTATTTTGGGAGGCAGCTCAATGAAAATGCTTTAAACTGCTGTAAATTGCAGTTGCTATAAAGAAGGCAAATTACCCACCTGGGTGTCATTAGGGAGGGAATTGTACTGGCTTAATGTCCTTGCCCAAATTTGTGGTGAGACCAGAATTAGAATATTGTGTACAGTTCTGGTCACAGCACCTTTTTTAAAAAATGGTATTTTAGAATTAGAAGTGCAAAAAAGACCAAACAGATATTCCACTATAGTTTAGAGCAGCAGCCCCCAACCTTTTGGGCGCCAGGGACCAGTTCCATGGAGAGAGGTTTTTCTGTGGATCAGAGGGGGTGTGGTTTCGTGTGCTGCCTGGATCCCGCGGATGGAGCTTTGCTTGTTTGCACAGCCTGGTTTCTGGCATGCTGTAGACAGTGTCGGTCTATGGACTGAGAGTTGGGGATCCTTGGTTTAGAGTCTTTAGCTTGGAATGGAATAGGGTAAGAGAAGGCATGCTAGAGGTTTTGTATTCTGTATGTAAAATCCTGCATGGCATGGATAGAATGTGCTTCTCCCTCTTTACAGTATTAGAATTCAAGTTTACCTATAGTCATGACAAGCATTAAACGATCAAAGGCGATACTTTCCCATACAAACATATTATTAAATAGGAATTCACTGCCAGTTGTAGAAATTGCTATGTGGATGCTTTGAACTAGATGGATTTGTGGACAGGCTGTGGCCAGCTACTGATATTGATGACTGTTGAAATCAGAGGCAATATGCTTGATAATGCTGGTTTCTGAGAAGCAACAGTGAAAAGGGTTATTACCCTCCCCTCCATTAGTGATCAGCTTCTCCAACACATCAGTTGGCGTACGATGGGTCTCTGCCCTCCTGATCGACTGCAGACATTATTTTGCCCATCAAACTAATAAACCTTCCCATTTTCTGAATCCCTCTTGCTAATTCTTCAGTGATTATAATTACTAGCCCGTGAAGGAATGTGGCTTGTATATGTTCAGTGCAGGGAAGAGCACCTACAGAAGAGTATTAATGATTCCGAGAGAATTTCAATACAGTGGAACCTGTTTGCTGATACTGCCCTTTGTTGTTTAATCAGCATAATTTATCCAGCTCTGCTCAGAAAGGATTAGTTCTGCAGAATACCTTTCTCCTATATTAGGCAAGGCTGGAAGACTCTAAAGAGAATACGAATACTCCATAGACAGCTAAAAGCAGCAATAGTATACACCAGCCAACATGGCAGCTGCTTTTCTTTTATTGTTGTCACTACATTTAAGGACACTAAAAAGATTTCTGTCCTTTGATTTTAACTGTTGTTTAAACCCCCCTGCACTCTCTCCCCCCCCCAAGTCTCAGTTACAATATCACCAACACAATTATATTGTGGGCCATAAATGACACTTAAAAATCCCCTCTGCTTTGAAAAAAGAATTTTCAAAGTTTGCTCCCCAGTTTGGGGGGAGAAGAACCTTGACAGTCACATAATTGAGGCTGCTTTGTGTTACATTAAGCTTTTATGTTATGATGACACTGACACCCAATCTATGTTGATAGTGTGATTGTTATTGATATTTTTCCTTTAGTACCGTGTACAGATAGTGCTTGAATTGTGACAGTAATTGGGACCAGAATTTCCATCGCTAAGCAATGAGGTCATCAAGCATGATGTCACATGACCACATCAGTTAGTAATGGCAAGTCCGGCAGTTGTTGTTGCCATTGTTAACAGAATGCCACCAATTGTTAGGTGAGGACTCATTCTGAACCAAGCCACTCCCAGCTTCACCCTCTCAGCCCCAAGTCTCAGTAGGGTAATGAACTGCTTTCTCTTCAATTCCCCCTCTCATCTGTGCCCTTTTGACCCTCTTGTATTCTGCTGCCTCTGTTGGCCTTGCCACTCTGCATTCGCTGGCCTTGCTGCCCCAGTTGGCCTTCACTGTCTTCCTGATGAGTGCCTGGCCCTATGTGAGGCTGATTTTCTTCCCAAGGTTGCTTGTGCCTGTCGTTTTCCAAATAGTGTGTGCCATTCTTGTGGTGCTTTGGAATGCTTCTCAGGCCTTCTGGAGCATCATGAGACTGGCCTGTGCGCTTTGGAGAACAATGGATGTGGCCTTCTCATGAGATTTTTGAAGACGCTGTGGAGATTTAAGAAGTCTTCCAAAGCATTGGGAGAACAGTCCAAACAGCCTTGAGAAGAAGGCCTGGTCAGCCAGCAGCTATCTTGTACAGGACCAGGCTGGCCATCTTGTTAGCAGTGGGAGGGAAACTGTGAAAGTCAGTTGGGTGTGGCAGGACCTGCAGAAAATGCCTCTATGCATGTGGTACTAGGGCAAGAAGTAAAGTCCCTGAGGTAGTGATGGCTGGCTGAAAGTGCTTTGGGCCTTTACCTCAGACCCAGCACCACCACCATCACCACCATCAAGGAGTACTGAAAGGGCAGAGATGGGGGAGTTAGGTGCATAGGGGGTAATTGAAGTGCCCTTGTGTTGTGGTTATAAGTGTGGGAAGACTGCCAAGTGCCCAAATTTTGATCATGTGACTGGGGGGGGGCTCTGCAATGCTACAACTTTGGGGACCAGGATAAGTGCCATTTGTTCGGCACTGCTATAACTTTGAATGATTGCTGAATGAATGGTTGTACAGCAGGGTTTCCTGTAGTGAATTATAGGTATTGCACATTATGCTGTAAATTGTTTGGAGTTGTATGATTAAAGTGGCAAAGAGAGGCATTTGCAATGAATGTATAAATAAATAAATAAATAAATACAATTTGTATAATTAAAATGTGTGTCTCATAGGACCTTCAGAAGAAGCTCCCCCATTGACAGAGACAGACCAGGAAAATAGCAAGGCTTTAACAGTCCAACAAGGTGATGACGTGGTTGAGTCTGCGGAGGAAGAGCAACCAGCAAAGGAAACAGAAACAACGGAAACAACGCCTGCAACCTCCCTCCCTCCTCCAGGTGACCAAAGAGAAGAAACGTCTGAGGGAGAATAAGTGCCTCATTGTTTTAGCTATGTGTATTTTTTTTTTTTAGATGTTACTTTTTCAAGGACTGATTCTGAGCTTAGACTGCCACTCCAATGAATGTTAAAAACTGTGCAGATTGTATTGCAATATGTTTGCGAGGCGAGTGGGTGAATTAAAGCATTTCGGTCTGGGCTAGTTAGTTGACGTCTAACTCAAACATTGATTTGTCTTTTTTTTTTCCTTTTTGCGTACTTACAAAGAAATGTAAACATGCTTAAATGGGTATTTTCCATAAAGTGATCTGACCTATAGTATTATTTGGTCTTTGAGCAAAGAGTGCTGTAAATGACTAAAAAGATGTGTAAGTTTTGCTTTATTTAAATTAAGGATTTTCTTTCCTGAAAATATTTATCTATTAAGCTGAACTAAATCAATTTAAATATCCAGATGTTTACAGGAGAAAGGGTGCTTGGATAATTACTGTACCAGAAGCAGTACATTTGTGTCATTGAAACTTAAAAACTTTGCCACTCTTCATATTTTTCCTTGAAAGAATGCAGTTAAAGAGGGCCGGCTAGAATACGATGCCCCCTGTTGGGAGGCTCTGGGCACAGCAGATGAGCTGAAGATAGCATGTGAAATAGAAAGCCTAGTTTGTGTTTACATGAAGTGTAGGAATTTCAGCACTTGATTGTACTTGAATACTGAGCATTATTTATACTTGTACAATAATGATAAGTGAATTTTGTGTATTTTGTTAAGAGCAAATAAAGACTATATAGCATTAAGGGCTTGTCCAAAGCATATTCTCGTAATTGACTTAAACCATGTCTCTTAAATTAATCATTTTATTACACACATTCTTGAATGTAAAACTAGTACATGAAAATTTCAATAGAGCAACTACTCCACATTCTTGTATGTACTATTATTATTGGGTAATTATTTACTTAGATTCCTCAAGGTCAAAAGAATTCCAGATTATATCACAATACCACGTTGTTTGCCACCATAGTTATGTCCAAATAGCATCCAAATCAGAACAACTGTCTGTGAAGAAGCCTGCAATTTCATTTGCCATTCCTGCACATTGTTTTTACCCCATCCAAATTTTTTAATGGACTAGATCAGGGGTCTCCAACCTTGGCAGCTTTGCTTTGCTGGCTGAGGAATTCTGGGAGTTGAAGTCCACAAGTCTTAAAGTTGCCAAGGTTGGAGACCCCTGGACTAGATAATTCAGAACAGGGTCAGCAGGAAGTAATCTGTTGACAGTGTAAATGCTAAGAAGAATTGCTGCATCACTACCGCTCTGAATACTTTTTCCACTACTGTATAGACTCTTACCAGTGTTTAGTCATATCTATTTTTGGTTTTCCTCTACTGTCAACTGGGGGCCTTTTCAGCTCTTCAGTAAATCTTTGGGGCTGGTGCCTGGGAGGAGACCTTGCTGGTACAATCTTGGTTCACCTCCATGTTTCAAAGATTAACCAGGCAGAGGCTAGAACGCCTTGCCAAATTGTCAAGAAAATGCCCAAACACCCTTTGGAAACATGAATCCATTAGATTTCTGGGGCAGGTTATTTTAATTGGTACTCTGCTACTGTAAAGGTTTGTAGCATCTGTGTATCCTAGTTTGATAACCTCGAGATTGATTAATCAAAGGATTGATGATAATGACTTCCATCTATGGAACAAATTGTCTAGTTTGAAATAAAGGCCAGTTCTAGCACATGCAATCCTATATGTCCGAAGGTTACTATTTGTCATAGCACTGGATCCACTAGATCCTCCAGGTTATTAAAGTTGAAGTCAACTAAGATTAAACCCTCAGGAACTCCAAATCCCAATGGGGAGGAGGCACTACTAGGCAATTGGTTAGAGTAGTTTTCTTTGCCACACAATCACAGGGACTTCTCTTCCCTGACCTTGATGTACTGTTGTAGGACCTGAAACCAAGCCGGCAGTTTTCCAACAGAGTCCCATTGCCAGGTCTCAGTAATACACACCAAGTGCACACACTCATCCATCACTGTTTCATGGACAGATGTGTCTTATAGTGCAATAAGGAAGTAGTGTTTATCAGGAGCACTAGGAGACCAGGGCTTCCCAAGGTTCAACAAGCTTGGTCTGGGACAGAGGCCTGTGTCATATCTTGTAATGTCTTTTATTATTATTATTATTATTATTATTATTATTATTATTATTATTATTTCTCTCAAATTTGTAGATAATCCAGCTGGGGTATCCGATAAATCCAAAGGCAATTTATCTGGTACAGTCTCTGTCTTTAGTTCCAGCTCCTTCTGCTTATCCTGTATTATATCTGAAGACGTTAAATTCATTTTCAACCTATTTTGATAAAATTCTTCCGCTCTTTCAACAGTATTTAACTGGTATCTTTCTCCTTGATATCTCAATATAATACCAACTGGGACGTCCCACCGGAATTGAATATTTCTCCTTTTTAACTCAGACACCAGAAAGCCAAATTTCTTCCTTTCCATTAATATCTTAGGTGGGAGTTCCTTGTAAATCCAAATCTTTCTTCCATACAATTGCAAATTAGAATTGAAGGAATTTTGCACAATTTTATTCCTAATTTCTTTATCTGAAAAATAGATTACCACATCTCTAGGCAATTGCCTTTGCTTGGCAGTCCAGGAGTTTATTCGATAAGCTCTGTCAATCCTACAAAACACTTCCTCAGGTTGAATCTTTAAAATCCCAGCTAGAAATTCAGAAGATATTTTCCTTAAGTCATCTCTGTTATTTTCCTGCAAACCTCTAAGTCTTATTGCATATTCTGTGAAATTATATTGTATCTTTAGAACCTCTTTTTCAATCCTCTGTTGCAGATTTTCTACATTACCAGACTTTTGGTCAGCATCCATTTTAAATTTTTCTTCTGAACTATAATCCTGAATATTTAACAAATCATTTTCAATTTTTTGAATTCTATTGTCCAATTTATCTTGAATTTCATCCATTTTTGACTCTAGTAAATTAGTATTTGTATCCAACCGAATCATGAATTCTGACACTTTTAAAATTTTTTGCTGCAAAAAGTCAAACTTGGATTTCACCAATTCCTTAGTTTCCTGCTTAAATTTTTCAAGTTGCTGATTCACAATCTCATCCCTTCTTTCAATCTCCTCTAAGAGAAATTCTATTATATTAAAATCAGGTTTCTGGGACTGAAGAGTTAAAACTTGTTCCTTTAAATTCTTAGTGGGGGAATCCCCCCCACCTATTTGTTTGTCTGACTTCACAAGCCTCAGTGCCATGTTTCCGCCTAAGCAGGCTTTGTTAGAAGAAAAAAAAAAACAAAAAACAAGACAAAAGACTTCCAGCCAGCAACAATCAAGCCTCCAGGGGAAAAGAGAAAAACAAAAACAGGAGCGGAGTTTTGTCTACAAATGTAGCCAGTGGTATTTATTCCGCTACATTGTAATAATAAAAAACGGAAGAACTTTCCCTCTCAAACTCTTCTCCAGCCGCGGCAGACGCCATTTTAAAAAGAAACTTTTTTCCTCTTTCTCTTCCTCTATTCTCTTAAGTAATTTTTTAAAAGATAAGTAAAATACTTGCGCTTCAGTATTACAGGTCCAGCTCACATTTTCTTTGAGTAATCTGTCAAATTCGCAGGCTTGCTTTTGACGCCTGGCTCTGCATTAGCAGAGGTCTCCCAAAGCCCGGAGCAGCGGCTGGGGATATGGGGCATCTCATCCGCTCCATCCCAAAAGTAAAAGAAAAACTTTTGGGACTCTGCAGAGAGTTCTACCCACCCCTGCCGGCTCTATCTCCGTTTCCTCATGGGAACGGAGTTTTTTCGAGCCGCCGTTCCGTTGTGAAGGCGGCTCTGACAGGCAGTGGAAGCTGACGATCCCAAAGGAACGTCTGGCGGCGGCCAGCAGCAAACAGGAAGTCTTATTACACACATTCTTGAATGTAAAACTAGTACATGAAAATTTCAATAGAGCAACTACTCCACATTCTTGTATGTACTATTATTATTGGGTAATTATTTACTTAGATTCCTCAAGGTCAAAAGAATTCCAGATTATATCACAATACCACGTTGTTTGCCACCATAGTTATGTCCAAATAGCATCCAAATCAGAACAACTGTCTGTGAAGAAGCCTGCAATTTCATTTGCCATTCCTGCACATTGTTTTTACCATCCAAATTTTTTAATGGACTAGATCAGGGGTCTCCAACCTGGCAGCTTTGCTTTGCTGGCTGAGGAATTCTGGGAGTTGAAGTCCACAAGTCTTAAAGTTGCCAAGGTTGGAGACCCCTGGACTAGATAATTCAGAACAGGGTCAGCAGGAAGTAATCTGTTGACAGTGTAAATGCTAAGAAGAATTGCTGCATCACTACCGCTCTGAATACTTTTTCCACTACTGTATAGACTCTTACCAGTGTTTAGTCATATCTATTTTTGGTTTTCCTCTACTGTCAACTGGGGGCCTTTTCAGCTCTTCAGTAAATCTTTGGGGCTGGTGCCTGGGAGGAGACCTTGCTGGTACAATCTTGGTTCACCTCCATGTTTCAAAGATTAACCAGGCAGAGGCTAGAACGCCTTGCCAAATTGTCAAGAAAATGCCCAAACACCCTTTGGAAACATGAATCCATTAGATTTCTGGGGCAGGTTATTTTAATTGGTACTCTGCTACTGTAAAGGTTTGTAGCATCTGTGTATCCTAGTTTGATAACCTCGAGATTGATTAATCAAAGGATTGATGATAATGACTTCCATCTATGGAACAAATTGTCTAGTTTGAAATAAAGGCCAGTTCTAGCACATGCAATCCTATATGTCCGAAGGTTACTATTTGTCATAGCACTGGATCCACTAGATCCTCCAGGTTATTAAAGTTGAAGTCAACTAAGATTAAACCCTCAGGAACTCCAAATCCCAATGGGGAGGAGGCACTACTAGGCAATTGGTTAGAGTAGTTTTCTTTGCCACACAATCACAGGGACTTCTCTTCCCTGACCTTGATGTACTGTTGTAGGACCTGAAACCAAGCCGGCAGTTTTCCAACAGAGTCCCATTGCCAGGTCTCAGTAATACACACCAAGTGCACACACTCATCCATCACTGTTTCATGGACAGATGTGTCTTATAGTGCAATAAGGAAGTAGTGTTTATCAGGAGCACTAGGAGACCAGGGCTTCCCAAGGTTCAACAAGCTTGGTCTGGGACAGAGGCCTGTGTCATATCTTGTAATGTCTTTTATTATTATTATTATTATTATTATTATTATTTTATTATTATTATTATTATTATTATTATTATTATTATTATTATTATTTATTTATTTATTTCTATACCGCCCTTCTCCTGCGGGACTCAGGGCGGTGTACAGCCAAGATAAAACATTGCATATAAAATTTAAAAACAATTTAAAAAACAATTAAATAATTTCGGCCCAAGATATTAAAAACAACCCAATTAAAACCAAATTCAATTAAAACTGAGAGGATGGGATCAAGCCAGCCCAGCTAGATGGAATAGGTGTGTTTTCAGGGCCCGACGAAAAGTCCGGAGGTCTGATATCGTGCGTATCTCAGGGGGTAGGTCATTCCAGAGGGCGGGTGCTGCCACAGAGAAGGCTCTCCCCCTGGGGGTCGCCAGCCGACAGTGTCTGGCCGACGGCACCCTGAGGAGGCCCTCTCTGTGCGAGCGAACCGGTCGGTGGGAGGCTATTGGCGGCAGAAGGCGGTCTCGCAGATAATCCGGCCCTAAGCCATGGAGCGCTTTAAAGGTGGTCACCAACATCT